AACCCAACACCCACACAGCGGTCGCCACGTGGAGGCGCCCAGAACATGACACTATGGCGCAACAGTAGCAGCAGTGGGTAGACCATCTGTCAAGATCTAGCCACCACCAGCCTCAGCGCACCATATGCTACATATGGTTGGCGGCATCCGGTTTCGGATTTGCCTGTCGCTGTGGCAAGCCACTGGACGCCTGCGCCTACAGAGGGAACATGGATGGCTTGCGCTGCACCACCCACAGATCCAACCACACACCCATATCCAGTGTAAACCCGAAGGAATAAGACCGGGAGGTATGCGGATGGGAACCACGTTTCATCAACGGAGCCGGCCCACACTCCTTCACAGGCAAACACAAACACGCTGTATTTGGGGAATCAAGCGCACACAAGGCGGTGGCTGGACCGTAGTCCGCTCCACACTGAGTGCATGGAACCACTCTTCGAGCCTAGCATGGCCACAAGGACCGTGCACCCCGTCCCCTCCAGCAACGACGAACTGTCTCCTGGAGCCAGTATGGACGAGGTAGTGGGTAATAGTGAGGTAGGCACCTTGTCAACATGCACATCAAGCGCAGTCACACCGGGGATATCAAACAACAGCCAATCACACAAGAGAGGAGAGAAAGAAAAAAGAGAGAAATTCGATTAATGCATAAGGAAACGGTGACATAAACCTTAATTTAATGAGCATATGTAATAAGTTGTTTGTAAACAAATCCTAGCTAAGTGCGCGAGGTCAGAAAGTATAGTTCACGGAATGCCACGAACACAAATATGCTACGGAAATCGAATACAATTGGCTTAAGCGAGGTGTGCAAGTTAATGGAATAGAGTACATGTAGATATTTATACGAGAAAGAAAAGCATTAAGGCAAAATTGAAAACTCACCACATGAAATAAAGAGACTTAGCATGCAAGCGCGCGGTTCAAAAATCGAATTCAACGTGCCTACAGACGCTGCGCCGGCTTGGCGTACTTCTCTACAGGAACCGTCGTCGCTTCTGTAGTGGTCCCGAGTGGCCTAGCTCATGGCCCACTAGACATTTATATGAGAAAGGAAGGTATTAGGAGAGATCCGGAAACCCACCACCTGAAATAAAGAGACTTAGCGTGCAAGCACCCGGTTAGTAAATCGAAAATCGAAAGCAGCTTACCTACAAACCATGCGCCGGTCCTGCCTACGTTCTCTGCAGGACCCGTCGTCGCTTCTGTAGTAGCCTTCAGTGGCCTCTCTCATGGCTCACTAGGCCTGCCTGACTAAGGCAGTCGCGACCGCATGTTCTAAAGCACCATGCGCTCGATGGCGATGGAGTAAAATTCATCGGTGCTTGCCGCTTCCGCACTTGCCGCTTCTTCTCTGCATGCATGAGGGCTTTCTCCCGCACTTCAGAAACTGCCTTCGTGATTAGATCGCGCCATGCACGCCGATCAATCGCCTTCGATTCCCATGATCTGCAATCAAGGTTAGAACGTGTGATGCTCACTTTAATCATGTCCTGGTAACGTAACTTTGGTTTCCCAGCATGCCGCTTCCCTATACTCAGCTGACCGTAAAAGAGTTGTTTCGGTATCCGCGTCGAATCCATACGGTTCACCTGACCGAGCCATCTCAGGTGTCTCAATAAAAGTATGCAGTCCACTGCATACATCCTACTTCGGCGCAACACTTCCGTGTCTGCAACTCTGTCGCCTCAGCCGATCCGCAAAATTCGTCGCAGACACTGCTGATGAAACCGCTCGAGATATCGCACATCCCGACGGTACATCGTCCACGTTTCACTGCCGTATAGAAGAACGGACAGTACCATGGATTTGTACACCATCAGCTTTGTGCCAATGGTAAGCTGATGGTTGTTCCACACTCGGTACTCAAGCTTCCCGAATGCCGCTGCTGCCTTCGACACGCGAATACGCAACTCAACGTGTAGCTGCTGATCAGTCGACATCACACTCCCAAGGTAGCTGAAACGGGAGGTGGTTTCCAATACTTCAGCACCAATGCTGATTCGCGGCAATATTGAAGATTGCACCTCCGGTGAAGGCTGACACAGATAGAAAGTTTTGCTGGTGTTGTTGGTGAGCCCGAATTTGACCGCTTAGGGGCACTTGTCAGGTGCTGCAACTCATCCGCGCTGTGTGAAAGCAACGCACAGTCGTCAGCAAATAGCAACATACGGATAGTTGTCTCAAAGACTATAGATCTCACGTACTTACATACTTACATATCCCCTACGCAAACGTACGCTGTTATTGCAAACATCGGATTTTTACACATACTTGATCACGCATCGTTATGGCAAGGTGATTATACCTGAAAACGCTTGCCTCGCTGTGTGTATCATATAGGCATGAATTATTTATTTATTTAACGGACGACGCGTATAACTTAATAGAAGCTAGTGTGATTAGGCAACAATGAGACAAGGTAGCAAACGCATCATTGCGTGTGAGCAAGCGGTTAGTAACTCAAATGCAGCGTACTTAAAACGCTGCGCCGTTCTCTGTGGAATCCGTCTTCACTTCGGTGTTGGCCCCTAGTGGTATCAACATGGCTCTCTAGGCTTGCCTGACTCAGGCAGTCGCGACCGCATGTGCTACAGCATCATGCGCTGGTCGGCGATGGAGTAAATCTCATCGGCGCCTGCCGCTTTCACAATTGCCGCTTCTTCTCCACCTGGATAAGGTCTTTCTCTTGCACCACTGCAACTGCCTGCGCGGGTGGACCGCGCCATGCACGCCGGTCAACCGCCTTTGATTCCCATGACTTGCAAGCAATTTTAGAACTTGACAGGCTCAATTCGATCATGTCCTGATAACGAAGCTTCGGATTCCCCACATACAGCTTCCCAATACTCAGCTGACTATAATAGCCTTTTCCGTTTTCTCGTTGCATCCATACGGCACGTATGAAGAAGCCTCCTCAGGTGTCTCAGCAAAAGCATGCAGTGCACTGCATACATTTCACGTCGGCGCAACACTTTTGTGTCCGCAACTCTGTCGCTCCAAATGATGCTCAGGATCAGTCGCTCAGTCGCTCAGTCGGATCAGTCTGTTGGTGGACCGGCTCGAGATATCGCACATCTTGGCGGTATCGTCCACGTAATACTGACTTAAACCCAAACGGACATCAGCTAGGAGTTGTACGCAACCAGCTCGGCGCAAACGGTAACTTGAGGGTTGGTCCACACGCGATACTCTAGCTTCCCATATGCCACCGATACCTTGAAGACGAGGATGCGAAACTCACTGTGAAGCTGCAGGCCAGTCAGCCTCACACCCCTAAGGTAGTAGAAGCACCAATGCTGATTTGCGGCAACGGAGTGTTCACCCACAAGCTGGCCATGGAGACGTTCAGGAGTAGCAAATCCGATCCCACGTTCACGTGTTGCTGAGGCTGCATTGCCCACCCAGTAGAATGTATAGCCAGCACTTGCCTCATGCAACTTAACTTGCGCAGCTAGCCGAGTCTTACTGAGCACTGCAATATCGATACGGTAGCGCGCCAGTTCCATCGCGTCCAGTGCGGTGCGTCGCTCGGGGCCCTCACATGAGTTCCGGTCTAGTAGTGTGCGCGGGTTATAGCACCAGGTGCTGAGTGCTCTGCGCGCAGACATACAATTGCATTGGTGGGAAATCGCACGCGGGATGGTTGATGTGCTTCAAAGGTTTGTATGATGGATCCCACCTGGAGGATTTGCCTCAGTAGACTAACCCACGAGGCAGTAGGTGATTTAGAGGTTTGCTTGAGTGACTCCGCTCGGAGACTTTGGCTTATTAGCCTGACACACACGGTCGTGCGGAGCAGCTCCAGGTCGGGAAGGTGATTGCAGAGACAGGTTAGTATTTGTGTGACGGCCGTCACAAGTAGCCATTGAAGCACGGGAACGATTCCTATATGTTTTGCGCCCACAGTAGGATGGCACATGAGGCAACAGACAGACGCAGATTGGTTGCAGCAGGTTTGCACCTATCTGCCCCGGGGCTGTCTGGCGTGAGGCAGCAATGACAAACCATTGAACACCAGGAGGTGCCTTCCCACCGTCAGAGACAATACGTGGCGCTCACGCAATGAGCCTTTTGAGCTGTGAGCTAATAACCCGTTGACCTGACGTCTCAAATGACAATGTAACTTTGGAGGAGTAACAAGGACCACTACCTAGTTTCGAAGAGACTGGGGTTTAGACTTGGATACTAGCAGGGCTCTCACACCTGACAGAAGAGCGACTCGGGTCCTCAGCCAAAGCCTTCGATTAAATGTGAACGCGGGAGGCAGCAGGTCTAGCACATGGTCAGTTCACTGACTCATGGGGATTAGTGTCCTGGACCTTAGGTATGAGAAGGACCTAACCCAACTCCCATCCAGCGGTAGCCACGAGGCGTCCAGGAGATGAGCCATTGGGACAACAGTAGCAGCGGTGGGTAGGCAATCTGTCAGCCACCACCAGCCTCAACGCACCATGGGCTCTCCTGCTTACAAGTACCTTAATTTAAACACGGAACGGACATTGTTATGAAAATTTATGACCATTAGCATACGCAAATTTAGATGCTAGCATCTATAAATAAAATTATATGACTTACATATATATAAGTAAAGTAAAGTTAAGATAGGTATGTGCATTACTATATTAATACGAGCCACAAAATATTATAAATAAAAGACGCAAGTTATAGTGAATAGCTAGGACCATGTGCACACGTATTCCATATGCAAGCATTCATCACTTTTTGTTATTTTTCTTCACTCAATGTCTAATCAGCATTAGATGATAGCTGCTGTACCAAACCGCACAGCCATTTTCCGTCCTATTTAGTTTCCGTAACCTACCTCGGTGCCTTAGTACCACTACTTTCCTCGATCTCTACTCCGATTATGGGTCATGGTGAGGATCATGATATCGAGCGCGAAGAGTTGATGCGGCCCTATCAGCCTTCAGTAAATGAGAAGTACCTTGTCCCATTTTTCCGTGCGTTATTTGATGCTCCTGTTACATTTCTCCATGGTACTTCATTATATCATTGTAACAAACTTGTTAGACCAAGTCGTGGAACGCCTTCGTAAGCCTTATCCATATTATCATCGGCGGTATAATCGTGTTCCAACAATCGAGCAATGCAGAACGGATGATTTTGTTTGCTTCTATGAGGCAAACGAGCAGTATCAACGTGACAGGTTTGTGCACCTTCCGTTGTTTCCTAAAGTCTTGCTGACAACTTGTTCACCTCTGTTTTCTTGCTTCCAATGCGTTTGCTGAAGCTCATACTTTTGTACTCCTTGACCTTACCCTTGTTGTCCCCGCATAACGCGAGTGCCCGAGAAATGTCGTTAGGTCGCTCCGGCTTTGCGTGAAATATTGTTTGAATAACACTTATACAAAGGAAAGACATTGCCAATTTTTCTTGTGATCCAAATGAATTTGCAAGTCTTTTCGTGCTCGAAAACCATCATCCGTACTTACCTTGTATCAAAACATTGTTTTTGACAACACTGAGGATACTTGATTAGTCCATCTCCGTGTGATCTAAAAGGTATAAGAAGTGCCCACTTTATCGGAATCTGTTCTGTCGCTGATTTTCGCTGCAAAAATACCGCTGGAAGCTTGCTTTTGGCGAATTTTCCTGCGAATACACTTGTTCTTTTATCCGTTGTTTTACCGAGGCCTATATCGTTACATGCTTTTGACCATTGGACGCTATCCAGCTACCCCTCGCCTCTTGTGCGCCGTTTTCCATTCGTCAAAGGCGGGTTTACTTGAATCGATTCTTGGGATTCGCTCCGTGTGGTTGAACTGATCAGTGGATCTTAGTTATTCTTGTATCGGTGTCTGCTCTCTCGCAAGGATTTTGTTACTATATCCTTGGAGTCCATTTGCCTTTGTGATCTAGTATGTCCACTACAATACACTCGTGTCACAATTGCTCTTTCCGACTGGTGCTCTCGCCGATTGCATAGTTTGTCACCGTAAACCGGTTCACATGTATGCTGCTTATCTATTACATTCAGTTCTTTCTCTGAGCCCTCTCCTTCACGATGGTTGTCAAGCGCTGCTTAAACTCGCCGTGTCATCTTTCCGACGATTCTGTGGTCATGTGTGGCAAAGCGGGGTGTCTAATATCGGTTACAGATTCGTCCGGGGGCATGCAGTACAGTATCTGTAACCGTTGGTTCCATAAGGCATGTATTGGCTTGTATCGTAGACAGTACTCTCCTGTCCATTAGCGAGAGTTTACCGTTGTAGAAAATGTTGTGTGCGCAGAACTGAGCGTTACTTGCCAGAAAGGAGCAGTCCTGTTTCTCTGGAAAGCTTGCTGTCACTGCTTGCCTCGCTAGACAGGAAAGTTGATTATATTGCGAAAGGCCTAGACCGCCCAGGTCTTTGTCAGGAGACAGTGAAAGACACTGGCAAGTTATCAGACCCTGCATCTGTTTATTCACCGTCAAATGTCAGTATACCTGTTAGCAACGACCCTACTAGTAACGAACCCTCAGATAGCGTGTTTGATTCGGCTGTTAGCGAGGGAGAGCAGCAGGCTTCTGCCCTTGTCACAAGAGAGCAAAAGAGGGGTTAAAAAGCGGCAAAACCCAAGGCAGACGTGAGAGGTCCGTCGGGTGCGTTATCCCCACTTCCCTCAAATTCTGCCACTACTGAATCGTTAAAGCTGGAATCATCTGCGACATTAGTCTATAAAAGCGGACGCTAAACTGAAATCACCGCCTTTCACAGAGCGTCCGGTGAATACTCCGCGTCGCAGATACGCGTATACCGACTGCAGTATTAGTTTCAGAAACTCCACTGAGTCATCTGCTGTTCGGACATAAGACCGTATGCTGGATGACTTTCAGTGGGTTAGAACATGCGTTACCAAACTTCTACCGCCCGGCTTCCCCGGCGTGACTGTGCACAAACTAACCAGACTCGGTAACCTGCCAGTTGACAAGTCTCGCCCTCGCTTGTTGCGACTAGAACTGCCCACTCCGGAGGAGTACCAAGCACTTCTGCGTTTCGCCTTTAAGCTCAAAGTCACTTGTGTTATTGTACACCCAGACCTCCCTTTGGCGGATAGCTTGAAATTGCGGGAAACTTTGAGAAATCTTAAAGCCCGCCGTGAAGCAGGAGAAAAGGGTCTCCACTTAGTGGGTTTTCGGGTGGTGAGCTAGCGGTCCACTTCCGCTTTGGCAGAGCCGGTTCTGGGGGCGTACGATCCCGGACTTACAATGCTAAATCCATTCAGGTGATCTTAAGCAAAGTGCGTAACCTGGGAAACAAGCTGTGCAAAGTCGGCGCCCTTCTCGACGACTGCCGTCCAGATGTACTCGCATTCACTGAAACGTGCTTGTCCAGCGACGTCACGGGCATTGAAGTGTGCTTGCCAAGCTACGCACTGCTAAGGTGTGACCGCACCTCTGAACAGCGCGGAAGTGGCGTTGCTTTGTATGTTAACTCCGCACTTGCTGTCTTTAAGATGTGTAGTTTCCGATCACCAGACGGTGCTGTTGAGGCACTAGCAGTTAACCTATGTATTGCCTCCGCGCAACCTATAGTTGTGCTGGTCTATAGAAGCCCCGACAGCGTTGCTAAGGATGTCGTTGATTTCATCCGTGAACATTCGGCAAGTAGGTGTTTAATGATAGGGGACTTTTATCTTCCCACCGTTGACTGGCAGATCTTTTCCTGTGGCGCTGTTATAAGGTGTTAGGCTACCGAGCTTCTCGAGTTGGCCTTGCATGCTCCCCTCCACCAGTTTGTCGATCGGCCCACTAGATTCATGATAGGTCGCACCCCTTCCCCCTTGACTTGATCTTCGCTAAATCCATTGGTTTTGTCACGGATATTGTATACAACCCACCTCTCGGTGCTAGCGACCACGCATGTCTCTAATTTAAGTGCGCCCTTAGTCGTCAGACTAATGATCGTCCCGACCGAGGTTCAAACATGGCGTGCGGACTTTCAGACAATGAAAGCCAAGGCCGCAAAGTCGCCTCGCGTAATTTTGGAAAGTCATCATACACGTTAGCTAGAGCTGGGGAACACCTCAGCTACTGTGCCGCAAATTTTGGAAAGTGATGACATTCAAACGGCTTGTGAGAGATTTACATCATACTTGAGTGAGCTCTCCCCCATATACCACTCTCTGGCAGGAATAAAACTAGAGCAAAGCTATCTTGGTTTGCTTCTTTTATGCGCAAACAACTTAACAAACATGCCAGCTGTTGGCGTACTTACTTAGCTTCTCCTTCATTATGCACCTTCAAGCGCTACCGAGAGGCTCCAACTACCTGCAAGCAGCATCTACGAGGTGCTCGACTGCAGCATGAATTAGAGCTTGCTCGTATAGCCTCATCAAATCCGAAACGCTTTTTTGCGTATGTCAAAAGTCGAAGCAACATGAACTCGTGCATCACAGTGTTGCTTGGTCCTGACGGCTTTGCTGTTGTCACAGATCACGAAAAACCTTGTTTTCTCGGAGGACAGTATGCTGGGGTTTATCTTCGACAGTCGCAGCTGCCGCGTATCAGCCTGCAGGCTAAAGTTCCTGAGGACTCCTTCTTGGAGAAGGTTTCTATAACGTATACTTAAGTGCTCCGGCTCCTGAGGGAATTAAATCCCAATAAAGCTGCCGGTGTGGATGCTATTCATCCCAAACTGTTGTACGAGTTGGCTAATGAACTTTACCCTCCGATTACACAACTTTTTGTGAAGTCTCTACGCAGCTGCTCTCTGCCCACTGACTGGAAGGATGCTATTGTTTGTCCCATTTTTAAGATAGGTGACAAACACCTCCCTGATAATTTTAGCCGGTCAGTTTGATGAGCGTGCTGGTCAAGTTGTTGCAAAAATACGTGATGGACGCTCTCGAAGGACACTTGAGTGCGTTTGAGTTGCTTACTCCTCAGCACGGCTTTCGTAAGGACTATTCTTACCTTAATAACTTGTTAACGGCTCGCGAATACTGGACCAAAGCCGTTGATTGCTGGGAGGCAGTGACGTGCTGTTCATTGACTTCTTCAAAGCTTTTGACACCGTTCCACATTTCTGCCTTTCCTACAAGCCGGAGTCGTATGGTATTTCTGGACCAGTTTTGTGATGCATTTCAGCTTTCCTACTCGGAAGGGAAATGTGTGTGCGGGTGACTTCCAGCCTGTCCTTCCGTCAGTGGGTTCTCAGTGGCGTCCCGCAAGGTTCAGTCCTTGGTCCCCCTCCTCACTTTATACGTTAATGATTTACCCGATGAAAGTTTTCGGATTACTTGAAACTCTGGTTCACAATTGACGATCCGATTGGTCCACTGACTCTACAGAGGGCTCTGTATAAACTTTGGGACTGGTCTTTTTGTGGCAGTTGCCCGTTAATTTAGCGAAATGTTCAGTTTTACGCGTTGGTCTGAATGACCCGCCGACGCGTTATTTGCTTGGCGGCAACGAGGTACCGCGAGTTCAGCTCCAATATGATCTTGGAGTTTTGCTGTCATCAGATCATAAGTCTAGTGAACACTGGACGACAGCTGCTCGCAAAGGTTTCAACACCTTGTGGATGATCCGTAGGTCATTCGGGATCATGACCATCGAAATGTCCGCTATCCTATTTTCGGCTTTTGTAAGGCCCACTTGGAATACTGCGTTCATGTTTGTCCTCCATGTCTGGTTCGTGATAAGATGGCAGTTGAACGAGTCTTGCGACCCGGGACGAAAATGATGCACGAATTAAAGTAGCTGATGTACCCGGAGAGACTACGTAAGTTGGATATGTTTTCCATGTATTACAGGCGGCTTCGGGACGACTTGGTCCTCACGTCTCGTATGCTGATGGGTTAGTTTGGTCCTGATTTGACTGAACTGTCTTGCCCAACCCGAGCGCCAACCCTTGTGGCCACCCATTAAAGTTGCACAAACCCCGATCTGACTGGGTTTGGGCAGCTTTTCGGTTATTGCGCAGAGTCAGCTTATTGGAACGCACTGCCTGCAGATGTCGTGATTGCATCGACGGTGAAAGAGTTCGAGCATCGACTTGCCACTCTCGGTCTGCAGTTTACCATCGCAATGAGGCTGGACCTTACCGTGTTGCGATGGTTTATGTGCCTAAGCGATCCATTGAGCTGTGCTGGGTGGTGCTTTTTTGCACCTTCAGAGCCACTCATACCAGATTGGTCAATGGTCAGAGGCCAGACAAGCTC